AGTGAAAAGAAACAGATTAATAATCATTATTGTTTAAAGGCACGCTCATACTTAAAGTTTTTCTTCTTTGTGTCTTTCAGACGACGAGGGCTCGGGCTCAGACGTCGGGAAGAAGTTCACCAAGTGCAGCACATGCAAATACGGAGCGGAGTGTGACGAAGACTCGGAGGACGTCTGGTGAGTGTTCGACTCGTAACATTCGTACGAAGCGAGCTTTGCGTAAATACAAACTGACACCAACAACACCAAAGCTTCACTTTCTGTCTCCTGTTGAGAAACCTTCTGTTTGTGTGCGGCAGCCAATCATAGAGAGTTAGCTTACAGCTTGTTTCAGACAGGATAAACTGAGGCCCGGTATGAGATAAAGAAGGATTATTTGGGGCTGTCAATCATGCAAAGCTGCTCTAGGAATAAAATATATGACACTGGAAAAATCCACTTAAATAAAGTGCAGATGAAACTGAAGTGAGTGTTACAGACTTACGCAGAGAGAGATTTACAAATGAGATCCATCTCCAAGGCTGTTTGACTTTTGTAGTTGAGGTAAATAAAGGTCCTGATTTCTATGTGAGATATATTTGCTTCTCTCTGTGAGCTTTCCTCCATATTTTTACCTACAAGTTGTTTTTTAAGGGAGATATTCTGATCTGATTAAGGACAACAGGCTTTTTATTCTGTATCGATTGCAAGACCCTTCCAGGCATGTTGGGCTACGTAAATGAACTCGACTTGACTTATTAAGCGTAGCGAAACAAGACTATAAATCGACTGAAATAAGAGTCAAAAAGTTCTTTTTTTCAGGTCCCAGCATTGAACTCTGGGAGTAAATTTGAAACCATTAATCACGAGTGAAGGAGTTCTTGAAAGGGATTGAAATTAGTTCTTTGTATCTGCAGCCGGTCTGTGGAGGACTAATGAGCAGCGTCTTCGTTCCTCTAAACGCACTTCGGTTAATGATTGTGTGGCAGAGACGCGTTCAGACTGAAGACACAACATTTATTCTCCTGACTCGACTCCTCTCCTCCCTTCAGGTGCATATGTAACATCGACTGCAGCGGTCACAATGAAAACCCGGTGTGCGCCACTGACGGAAACTCCTACAACAACCCCTGCCTGGTCCGAGAGGCCTCGTGCATGAAGCAGGAGCAGATCGATGTCAAACACCTGGGCAGGTGCCCCGGTAAGACCTAACGAGATTACGCGATTGCATTACACGAGCTCTGTGGGCAGTTTAAAGCTGCTCGGGTTGACGCGTTGACGCTAATCTCATCTTAAATCACAGAATGAGGCTGTAACTGTAACTCGTTTATAAATGACTGCATGCTGAAGCAGAGGTGGTGATACAGTAACACGATGCAGCTTAGAGTTCAGCTCCTCTAAGGCCTGTTTAAGGCTGCAGAGAACCCGTCGTCCAACCCAGACTGTCTGCAGTCCTGTGAAGAACTACACCCGTGATGCAGTGCTTTGTGGATGCTCCTCCAGCTGCAGTAACTTCTGCATGATGTTATCAGTCTTCCACGCTCTTCTTTATGGCGTCACTTCACTGGTTTTTGCAGCATTTGTTTATGCACAGCTCTCCTGAGGTGTCACATTACAATCAGGACTTTGGTGCATTTTCTTGGAGATTTGCAGCTCAGCTTGGGATCATTGGACCGTTGCATGACTTACTTTTTGCCAGCGTTTAGCTGTCAGCCACACGCCCTCCTGACTCTACAATACTTTGGTGTACAGAGGGGTTCACTGCTCAAATCATCACCCCTCCCCAACCATGCTGGCAGTCTCAATAGGCATGTCCCAATTCCTAGGCCGCATCCTTCGGAGGCCCCATTTGTCAGCCAATTACGTCGCAGCCAGGTGACGAAGGCTGCTCCAAACGTGGCAGACAAATGCCTCCTTCGTTTCCCCAGATTTAAAGGATGGGTCGGGTGTATCCTTCATGACCCAACCTATCCCAGAATTCATAGGACAGCCAGTTCCAGTTTCCAACAATGGCGGCAGCTAATTAGTTTAAATATTACTCGTTTTAATCTTTCTGGGTCACAAAATAAACTTTTAGAATGTAGCCATGTAAACTTCAAATATCTGCTCAGTTTATCAGGACATCACATATTTGCAAAAGCGCTCCGACGTGTTCGTCTGTTACCCACCAGCTCGACAGCGAGCCGGGGATTCAAGCCTCACTAGAGCCGCGAGAACAGCGGACTCCATCGTTTTTAGACCCCTGCAGTCTTTCTCTACTCAGGTTGAGCATGATATATAAGTCACTTAGATAACTTAATGTTATTGTTTGGCTGTGTTAGTGTTTTATTTCCTCAGTCCAAAGAACATCGCTCCAGATGTTTTTGTTCCATGTTTTTTAGACGCTTCCAAACAGCTGATTCTTGTTCAGTCTTCTAATTGTCTTGTCATGAACTTTAACCTTTAACATGCTGAGACCTGTAGAGTGTAAAATGAAGCTCTTTGGATTGTGTGCGCGTTCTTCGAGAACAGCATGGCGTGATCTTGAACTCCTGAGAAGATTGTTTTGTTAACACGCACCTGAATTCTCCAGACCAGCAAATCTGTCACTTTTATAGAGGCGCCAAACCTGCTCGTGATCAGTTAATCAGGTGCATTGATTAGGAGCACCTGGCTGCTCCTTCTGGCACATGTGGAGCTGACAGAGGCTGTATCCCAATTCAGGGTCTGCAGCCTTAAAGGCCGCATTTTAAGGCTGATTACGTCACAGCGACGCGACGAAGGCTGTCCCAATTCAAAGGCTGCTCGAAATGCGGCCCTCAAATGCGTCCTTCATTTCCCTGAATTTTAAGGACGTGGCGGTGTAGACTTCGTGGCCCAACATATCCCAGAATGCATAGCGCGGCGGTGGGTGTGGATAATTTTGACGGAAAAAAACGGCGGATGAGGGGCGGCCGAAGAGTAAACTTTAAGTAAGTACTGAATATTATGTCACTTATTTATGTGCAAATGTTTAATAACGAAGAACATTAAAACATTACTGTTGACCACATGTCGGCACAGTCATGTGACATTAGTGACGTTTGTACTAACTTGGTTTTAAAGCCTTTACTTTAAAATATACGCCGTTCAATAGCTGAGCTTAATCAGAGAATGATCAAAGCTCATGTAGAAACAAACAAACAAACGAACAAAAGATTTTCTCCTTCATTTCTGTCAAACAAAGCTGTATGAAACGTTTCCAGCTGTTAGTGTCATGGTTGCTAGGCAACCTGAGCAGCGCGACGGAGGCTAGACCGTCCCATTTCACAAGCCTCGCACTTCCGGCCTTAGCGGTCTTTGAGTACGTGGCCCTTGAGGATCGATGAGGCTGCAGACCCTGAATTGGGATACATCCAGAGAAAGACGAAATAAAAGCTGCTCTCAGTTTCTGTCGCGCTACATTAGCTCGCCCACCAGCAAACAGAGCAATGAACTGAACCGAGCGGCTTGTTACTGATATCAGATCCACTTATTTGAGCCAGGATTACACCGGTGTCCATACTGAGAACTGGGCCTCAGTTTATTGTCAGTGTTTCGTTGCTACACTGACAATAAAGATTCTGGTATTAGAGCGATATTCTCAGTGTGCTAGCTGAAGATGTTGTTTAAAAAAATGTCCCTTTGGCTGTGTTCCTGTTTTGCATGCAAATTTGAATCCAGTGAGGTGTTTGAACTTTTTAATGACCCATCATACGTTGGTCTATCCACTGGTGCAGGTGCACGGTGCACGGCTGTTTTGTTCTGACTAAAAGCAAAATGGTTGCTGACTCCTAAGATCAGGACGAAATATTGAGTTTCTTGGGTTTTTTCAGTTGCACAAACAATCCTGAATATTTGGTGTGATTATCTGCATCAGGAGAGAGTTATTTAAAAGTGTGTGTGTTTCCATGATAAGAATGCGTCATTGCCTCCGTGCGTCTTCGTGTTTTGATGGCGCCCTGTGACACCGAGCGATGAGACACCAAGCTGTGATTCTGGTTGTGTTTGCACGTGAAAATGTAAAACATCTCCGAGCGTCTGTTTTCTTAAGCTTTTGATTTACCTCCATCATGGTGGCGCACGCCTCCACCCACAGTCTGTTCAGCTCTCTGAGCTCTCTGTCATCACGCTGTTTCCTGACGTGCATGAGCGACTGGATTCAAAGCTCCACGCGCAGCTTTGTGGCGGCCGGCAGGAAGCGCTGTGTGAATAAGTGACGCCAACACCCTTTTCAGCCAGCGAGGAGAGCGGATCTCTGGAGACGATCGTGACAGGAAACGGAGGGTTTCGATAAACAGACGTCCCTCCTGTGTGACAGCAATGAGGCGTTCAGTGTCACACGAAGCAGTAATTACGGCTCAGTTTCCTTTTTTTTCCTAATAACCTGACCTGCAGCAAACACAGCGCTGGTTTGTGCTCCACGTGTCCACAGAGCTGATCAATGTTCAGAAAACAAACACCGACTGACCTTTTAAAGACACTCAAGTTGAATGTGAAGGCGTTTCGACGATACCCAGAGGCTTGTTTAAGCATCAAATAAGAAACAGGAGGAAGTTAAATCCATTTTTCATAATAAACCTGAGGACGCTTAAAGAGTCAGAGAAACAGATTTGCAGGTTACCGAGTCTGAAGTCACAAATTCACAGGAAACAAATCGTTCACTTTGCAAAGTTGGACTAACCTCATCAGGCACCATCACCGACTTCACAGACTGATTGATTCCTCATGTTTCGGTTTCTTCATTGATATATATTTATGACTTTGAGACATTTTAATGCTGTTGATTTTTCCTGTTACTCAGAACCATGTGATGAA